ACACTTTGTATAAATATGACTTGGTTTTCATGACAACCTAGATACAGTGCATTAAACCAATATTAGTGATTACAACAGGTAAATAGTTTAATCCTGCAACTGTGCATCACAACCAGGGTTGTTTCATTGATGGAGAGCACAGTGCCCAGAGTTTTTAGGCCTATTAAATTTTTTTTAATTCTCTCACATATATGGGGCTCACATTTGCCTCCTTAGGCCTTCAATAACCATCTCCCATATTATAAAAAATCCTGAGTCCCTCACTTTCCTTCTAGGGCCTGAGTAGAAAAATTGGGACCATTGATTAATTGTAACATTAACCTTTGGACAGAGGTTATCATCATACATTAATTCACAAGGTAAGGCGGTCACCGTCATGCAACGATTAACACTATCCCACTCCGTTGCCGCCACTCATCTTCACTCATTTTTCTACTGATTTTGAGTGAGTGACTATGGCTCGCGTCATGTATTAAAATATTTGTAAATAATTCAATTTTTATCCGATCAACTTCTGGGTGGTTTCAAAATGAGCGCGTTTAGATTGCACACAATTTGATACCAAAATGAAAGATGTAACACAAAAATTTATGTCAGAACACTGGAAAGATATAAATAATTTTGTGGTGATGAGCGTCAAAAAGTGTCCAAAAGTTAAAAATATTTGTTAAAATTCCATTTATTGTTCTATTATTATTGGACTAGTTTTAAAATTTGTGCCTTTATATTGTGAACAGTTTGATACCAAAATGAAGGACGTGGCGAGAAAATTGATGTCCGAAAGATAATAAATACTTCTGTGGTTCAAATTTTAAAATATTTGTTAAAATTCCAATTATTGTTCTATTATTATGGGACTAATTTTAAAATATGCGCCTTTATTTTACGAACAATTTGATACCAAAATGAAACATGTAACACAAAAATTTATGTTATCAAACTGAACGAGTATATACATTAGTCTGTAGGTGTGCCAATTGGTGCTCGTTCACGGGTAAGTTTGCCGACTTTAGGCTGTGCTGTGGAGAGTCACGGCGGGCTTTTGAACCTTATATGCATATACCCCTGTAGGGAATTCTATTGCGAACACAATGATACCAAAACGAATGATATAGCACGAGAATCAAGGTGAGAAAACTGAAACGAGTACACAGTATACAGTTTTCGGTGTCGCCGCATTCTCTCCCACACCGAACGGCGCATGAAGTAATTTCTGCGGTGCGTATGAACGGCGCGCGATAGTATTGAAAGAATTATTGTCTCGGCTTTACATGTATGATATGCGTAAAAATAGGCAGATGGATCTACAATTTCCTGACTAACAGAACTCGATGTGTAATTGTCAACAAAATAAAATCCGGACCATCAACCACGAAGAGTTCAATCCCCTAGGGTACTGTGCTTGCTCCAGTACTTTTTCTCATCCTCATATCAGACATAGACAAGGACACACACTATAGCCCTGTATCATCCTTTGCAGATGACACTAGGATTTTTATGAGAGTAGACAACATAGAGAACACAGCAAACCTCCAATCAGATATAAATCAGGACTTTCAATAGGCTACAGAAAATAATATGACATTTAATGAAGATAAGTTTCAGCTCTTGCACTATGGTAAAAATGAAAATATAAAAACAGAAACCACCTACAAAATGCAGTCAAATCATAACAGAATGAAAAAGCAATGTAAAGGATTTGGGTGTAATCATGTCGGAAGACCTTGCCATTAAAGAACTCAAACAGTAGTCGTCACAATTGCAAAAAAAAAAAAAAATATAATGGGTTGGATAATGAGAACTTTTCGAACTGGGGATGCTATACCACTGGTGATACTCTTCAAGGTGCGAGTGCTCTCTAGAGTGGAATACTGTTGCACAATGACATCCCCTTTCAAAGCTGGTAAAGCTGCTGGCCTGGAGAGCATGCAGAGATACTTTTCAGCTAGAATCCACCTGGTAAAATATTTAAACTATTGGGACCGACTAAAATGCCTAAATCTTTATTCTCTTGAGCACAGGCAGGTGCGATACATAATAATTTACACATGGAAAATAATAGAGGGGCTGGTTCCAACCTGCAACGGAAATAACACCACATGAGACCAAGAAGGCATGGCAGGATGTGCAGAATACCTTCGTTGAAAAGCAGAGGTGCAATACGTACTCTGAGAGAACTCTAACAACATCAGAGGCCTGACACTGTTCAACACGCTTCCACTACGCATACATATAACTGGCCCAACCCCTCACAGTGTTTATGAGAGAACTCGATAAACACCTCCAAAGGTTACCTGATCAACCAGGCTGTGACTCATATGTCAGGCTGCAAGCAGCTGCGTCCAGCAGCCTGGTTGACCAATCCAGCAATGAGGCCTGGGCGATGACCGGGCCGCGGGGACACTAAGCCCTGAAACCAACACAAGGTAACCAGAAGGTATGATGCAAATATGGATATTAATAGCTCTCTGTGGACATAATGGCATTTACCTTTACCTATGAAAAAATTCTGCGGCCTTTTTATAGTTACGTGTACTGTACTAGGTAAATGCGGTTATCGTCATGAATGTTAGTAGGGTAATGCAATCATTGTCATACTGCAATTTAAACAGTTATTGTCCGGGTTTTACATGTAAGGTGTAAATATGAATATAATAGCTATGTGGACGTAGATAAAGAGAAACAAGTGATAAACAATCGGTGAAACATCTGAGGATATTACGGAAGCATCAGCAAATTTTATTGCGAAACCACCCAATGAAATGATAAATATTAATTTATTTTCATGCTTTTATTACATTTGCATACAAATTAATAATTCTATATTGGATATTTGTTTTCAACACATTTGTGGGTAGGACCATAACCTCCATAGCTGCTGGCCAAGAGAGCATTTATTTTTTCATGCTAGGAAAAAATTATTAAAATTAAAATATTAGTGTCAAAGTTATATAAATATTGATACATTCATTCTTCCATACATACCGATATAAAAAAGATTATCTAGACATCGAATGTCAAATCCAAAGAGTTCATCCCACTGTGAATAGCTGATGTAAGATATAGTGTAGATAGATGAGTGCTGAGATGACACCTTCAACTTGTTTATTGCATAAAATAGGCTATACTGTAGATATTGAGTTTATTTCCACTTTTCCTTACAGTTTGCATCGAAATCATTCATTCTATAATGAAAAAATATATGTATACCTAATATTTTATACATACAGTACAGTATTGCTAAAATTTCTAAGAGTCTTTCGGCCTTGGATGATACATATGGTAATGACACGAGGTGCAGTAATAGATTCACTTTTGGCTGTAATGTGTATTTTATGAATATTAGTATTCAATAATATAGTTTGTTAAATAATGTTAAAATTTGCATAAAAGGTTTTCTGCATTGTACAATAGTTTATAATAAGACTTGGTGGATGTTAACTCACTGCATCCTGACAATTATGATTATCACCAATGTCAGTCGTGACTTGGGTGAACAATCATCACTGAATCCAACATTTCTATATTCCGCTGAACAATTTGCACCACCAGTACGACTGCCACCACCAGTACGGCTGCCGCCACCAGTATGGCTGCCACCACCAGTACGGCTGCCGCCACCAGTACGGCTGCCACCACCAGTACAGCTGCCTCCACCAGTATGGCTGCCACAAACAACCACTACCATCACTACAACTGTCAAAAACAATTGCTGTCACTGGTACAACTGCCATAAAGAACCACCATCACTGGTACAACTGCCATAAAGAACCACCATCACTGGTACAACTGCCATAAAGAACCACCATCACTGGTACAACAGGGAGCCAGTCAGCTGAGCGGACAGCACGCTGGACTTGTGATCCTGTGGTCCCGGGTTCGACCTCAGGCGCCGGCGAGAAACAATGGGCAGAGTTTCTTTCACCCTATGCCCCTGTTACCTAGCAGTAAAATAGGTACCTGGGTGTTAGTCAGCTGTCACGGGCTGCTTCCTGGGGGTGGAGGCCTGGTCGAGGACCGGGCCGCGGGGACACTAAAAAAACCTCGAAATCATCTCAAGATAACTGCCATAAAGAACCACCATCACTAGTACAACTGACACAAACACTGAGAGACATCATGAACAGCCGTTACCACTAGCACAGCCTCCACTGTCACAGTACAGCCTCCACTGTCACTCACAGTACAGCCTCCACTGTCACACCCAGTACAGCCTCCACTGTCACACCCAGTACAGCCTCCACTGTCACACCCAGTACAGCCTCCACTGTCACTCACAGTACAGCCTCCACTGTCACACACAGTACAGCCTCCACTGTCACACCCAGTACAGCCTCCACTGTCACACACAGTACAGCCTCCACTGTCACACACGGTACAGCCTCCACTGTCACACAGTACAGCCTCCACTGTCACACATGGTACAGCCTCCACTGTCACACATAGTACAGCCTCCACTGTCACACATGGTACAGCCTCCACTGTCACACATAGTACAGCCTCCACTGTCACACATAGTACAGCCTCCACTGTCACACATGGTACAGCCTCCACTGTCACACATGGTACAGCCTCCACTGTCACACATGGTACAGCCTCCACTGTCACACATAGTACAGCCTCCACTGTCACACATGGTACAGCCTCCACTGTCACACACGGTGCAGCCTCCACTGTCACACACGGTACAGCCTCCACTGTCACACAGTACAGCCTCCACTGTCACACAGTACAGCCTCCACTGTCACACACAGTACAGCCTCCACTGTCACACACAGCTGCTAGTATCAAAACTATTACAAATGTAAACAATGACAGGCCAGACCTAACCCAAATTCATTTAGCCTTATGTCCCCTTCTCATCCCTCCCGATCCACCCTCTGCACCAACCTGTCTATATTTAGTGCACTCCTGGAACTCATTGTACCTACCATCCTTCCATGCATTAATAAAACCACCATTTAATCACTGTACTCATTTCTTCATTATATTCTTGTTCTTAATCATAAAATTATGTATGATAGAAGAAAAACTTCTCCTAATTATTATAATTATTTTGTTAAATACAAAATTATAGATAGATTATTGATTGTCTAGTTTTCTAGACAATCTAGCATCATAGATTGTCACATCATAGATTATCACAGATTATCACATCATTACATCAATCTTTGTCATAGATTGTCTAGCATAGATTATCTAGTTTTCTGTGCGATGTGGGTGTGCCTCATCTTACTAACTAACATTGGGAAGTGTTGCAATCTAGAAGCCAGTTATTTAGTAATTTTAGTTTGTTAAATAGTTTGTTAAATATATTATGTAGTGTCCTCTCAAGAGTTTCTGCAAGTTAGTCAGAGCATGTATGTTCATTAAGTTTCATATGTCTTCATACTGTTTTGTTTTCATCAGCCATCCGCTTGATGGGAACCGATTACCCACTTGCATAGCTTGTCACCTAATCACTCTGCCCCAGTACTCATTACACTAATGTCTATGTCGGTACATATGCTGGCTCAGGTATACCTGCCTATTTCTATTGGCTATAGTGTAACAAAAAAAAAATAGAAGACATGATGATGATTTGAACCTGCACAATTGGTACAGTACTTCCAAGTATACACCCTAAATAACTTGGCCATGACATGCTAAAAATAATGCACCCTGGGATTCAGCTGAATCCTCTTGGGGTTCTGCGTCTTTCTCCGAAGCCCAGTCATGGTTTTCCACATTGTCCAAATGCACTTTGGCTGAGATATAGGAATTCTACCTCCAATGCTTCACATGATGTATGAATGAGAAAGTCATTAGAAGCCATGATGAGGATGATGAAAGTTCGAATCCTCATTATGGCTTCTACCGAGTGTCTCGCTGATACATTACGTTTAATGTGATTTCATTATGCATATGATTTAAACTTGCTAAATTATTTTTGAATTTGTGTATGTGGTCTATATACACTTGTTTGCAGCTTATGATAACATTTTGTTGACCAAGGAATAAGATTCCATATTAATATTTAACAATAGTAATCAAGCATTTTTTCTTTCCAGGCTTTTCGCAGGGATTTTGACTCTAGGAACAATAGAGATGGAGGGCGTGGCGGTTGGGGTGGTAGGGGCAGGGACAGAGGGAGAGGATATGGTCGAGATGACAGAGGAAATTCTGGGCGAGATGACAGAGGAGGTGGTTCTAGTCGAGAAGACAGAGGTGGTGGCTATGGCCGAGATGAACGAAGTAGTTATGGTCGTGATGACCGAGGCGGCTTCGGTCGCGATGACCGAGGAGGGTCAGGTCGAGATGACAGGGGCAGTGGCTATGGTAGAGATGACAAAGATGGAGGCGGCTATGGTAGGGAAGACAGAGGTGGCTTTGGTCGGGAAGACAAAGGCAATTATGGACGAGATGATAGAGGTGGTGGAAGCAGTGGTGGTGGTGCCTATGGTCGAGATGATGGAGGAGGAAATCGAGGATATGAAAGGGAGAGAGAAGATTATTCACGTTCATCTAGAAGGTAAGGAGTTATTATTTACTTTTATGTTGTGCAATAAAATATAATGTTGTTGTAGAACAAGTAAAATTAATGAAGTCTCCATTAGTTAAATCAGTAAGTACAATGTACAATAAATGTACATTGCCACATTTAAAATTCATAGGAAAAATAAGGCTTTGGTTGTAGATAAAAAGCTCCTTTCTGTCAAAACCAGTAGATCACACAGGCAAGAATCCCTCATTCTCCTAGGGCTCTGTGGGTAAAACCAATTCTACCTTCATCCTCAAAGCAGAGTAGATCTTTTCAAGCCTTCCATGTCAAGCCGTGTATTTATTGATAGTTGATGTAAATGTAGAGTGAAGATAGCAAGGGTCTTGAGAGGAATATTTGTGGGGTCAGATTATTATACAATGCTGTACAAAATTTGGGTGAATGGGAGGTGGTTGTTGTGGGCTGCTCTTGTGCAATAATTATAGCCTGTAACACTGCTAGGCACAAGAAAATTAAAAAAAAAAAATTTCTCCTAAGATTGTTAAAACGTGTTTTCTGATCACAGGGAAAAAAAATCACAGGTGACATATTTTAGCTGCAATAGGGCGAGGAAGTCTGGCAAAATTGAGGCATTGACGGAAGGGGTCCTGCGGCGGTCTGCTCCACCCGTGCTCTCAGGCGGGAGTTGTCACAAAGATATTATGACCTAATTATTTCAATGTCTCTCGTTGATTTTTTCTCCCTTTTTTTGCAGTAATATTATTCAATAGTGTGTAGTGTGATTTTTTATATAATAAAATGTGTGAACCATTGCTATACTGTACTAAAAAAAATTGTGTTCATATTAGTATACAAGTATCTACATGTTTTGTTCACCATAGTGAACCACTAAGCTGGTGTGGTGAGTCCAGACAATAAGAGGTTGCCACACAAAGTCAGCTGATGCTACCTACCTCTCCCCAACATTCCTCCTCCCACCATACTGTTTGTGCTGTTATTACACTATACACACACATTTATATATATATATATATATATATATATATATATATATATATATATATATATATATATATATATATATATATATATATATATATATATATGTAAGTATCTATATGTTTTACTCACCATAACTGAACAACTAAGCTGGTATGGTGTCCGAACAGCATAGTGGCCACCATACACTGCATGACAAGTCACACATTAGCCAGCAGACAATGTCACATCCCTCACCAAAATGGCTCCTCCTAACATAGTCCTTTTGCTGTTATTACACTATGTACACACACATGTGATATATTATTACACTATATACACACACACATGTGATATATAAATATCTGCATTTGTATTCATCATAGCAAACTACTAAGCTGGTATGGTGAATCCTGACAATAACAGGTTGCTCGGACACCACCTCTCCCTCCCTCACTCCCTAACCAAGATGCCTCCTCGCACCATACTATGCACATCGCTAATTATCACCATAATACTGCTATTATCAGAATCCTGGTCACTAAATCCTGTAAATGAATAATTTTCCACAAGTTTATTTTGTAAAGGAACGAGAAGTCATTTCAAGATTCTTAGACCAAACAATGGCAGTGTGCTGTGGCTAGCGCTGTGAACATCTTGAACAACATTGTGTTCACTGATATCTGAACATTGTACAGTCTTTATCACAGTCAGGCTCTTCTGTAATACTATCATGGCTTAATAATATCAGTTACATATATGTTTTGACATTTTTAGGCAATGCTGTGGTCACAAAGCTGAATAGCAGTGCTGTTAGCTCATGCTGCGTGCACCAGCTTTGGTTACTCACTCAGTACTGAGGCTCTCACACCCGGTAATGTTACCCACGATTTTTTTTTTAAATGGTGTCTGTTTATTAGAGCCCTGAGGAAGCTAATGTGAACCCTGTGTAGCTGCAGAACTTTTAAATCTTACGTCATACTCCCAACTATACATATATGTGTGCACTGTGCTGCAATAGTTACTCCAGTTATATATGTATATATATAAAAAACAGGTATATAAATATATATATTTATATAGCTGCAAGTTTTTTGTTTTAGCGCCTCAGTGGCGATCTAGAGGGCAAACGCCTGCTGCATCCTCGGTTTCTGTCCGAAAGCGGAGGAACTTCAAGAGATCCATAACCTTTAACCCCTTAACTGCGCGGCCTCCAAATATGACCCCCCTTCCCCCAGTGCAAAGGAAATAAATTATCTGGAAAAATTATTTTCTGTCTTGAAAGTGTCAAAAACCCTTCCCTAAGTATGGGTATAGTAACAGAAGGTCGAAATTGTACGTACTTTGGTTGCTATGGGGTCCGTAAGTTCGTGCGTGACGTCATCATTCCCTGGTCACCCATGGTGTATGCCCCCGGGGCTGCTAGGGCGCTCAGGGCAGGATGCGCGAGTTGCCGCGAATATATTTTTGTTCATTTTCTGCGCACAGTTCCAAATACATTTTATATGCTTTTAAGTGCCAATCCTATGTATAATGAACACATACACTATATTATGGTAGTAAAACATCAAGTACTGTCCGAAGACACTGTGTTACGTGCATAACACATGTGTACACATATCTGGCACATATTTCCATTGTATCATGCTAATTTATGTATATATACAATCTATTTACACACTATATACATTCGCCATCAACACACTCAGAACTCCGCGAGTGTCAGCTGCCACACCCTCACTCCTCCAACATCCAGTCTCTTCATCACTCCTCCAACATCTTACTCGCCAACATTGCTCCTCCCACCATACTGTTATAGTTTGTATTACACTATGTACACATGTCGTGTATACCTATCTACATGTTTTATTCACCAGAACTATGCAAGTAAGCCGGTATTGTGTCCAAACTTTACAGTGGCCACCATACTCTGCATGAGAAATCACATGGCAGCCAGCAGACGAGGCTACGATTACATCACCTCCATCACCAAAATAGTTCCTCCCAACATGCTCCTGTTGCTGTTACTACACTATATACGCACGTTGTATATACCCATGTACAAATGTGTTTACCATAGCGAACCACTAAGCTAGTAGTGGTTCATGGAGCCTCGGTTTCTGTCCGAAAGCGGAGGAGCTTCAAGAGATCCATAACCTTTAACCCTTACACTGCTCAGGGGTCCTGGGGACATTTACACCCCTGTGTGCAAGAAAAAAAAAATAAAAATAAATGTTTTCGTCTTCTAAACATGTTAATTTGTGTCCCCTGAGCACGGAAAAAATAAAAAATAAATCGTAGGCGACATATTTTGGGCTTGACCGAGGAAGTCTGGCAAAAAGTGGGCGTTGACAGAGCGGTTCTCAGACCCGGTCAGCGTCACCCGCGCTGACAGATGGGAGTTGCCACAAAGATATTATTACCTAATTGTTTCAATGTCTCCGATTGATTTTTCTTAGTTTTTTTGCAGTAATATTATTCAATAGTGTGTATTGTAATATATTTATATAATAAAAGTGTTGAATAATCGCTATACTCAAAAGTATGATGTGCATATTAGTGATTCAATTATTATGTTTATAAAACAATAAACAAATAGTTTTGCTGCTATTACACTCTATACACAGGTTATATATAAGTATCTGCATGTTTTGGTCACCATAACGAACCACTAAGTTGGTACTGAGAGTCGAAATGCAACGAAGAGTTACCGCCACACACCAGCCAGCCACTCGCTGCCACTCCCTCAACACATGCACTAAACTTTCTTCCCCAACATTACCATTTGTGGTGTTATTACACTATATACAGACGTTATATATAAGTATATATATATTTTGTTCACCACAACTGTACAGCTAAGCTGATATAGTTAGTTCAGGCACTAAGAGTTGTCGCTATACACAGATGTCGGCTGGCGGCTCCCTCACTCTTTCAAGGTCACATGCACTAAACTTTCTCCCCCAACAATACTGTTTGCAGTGTTATTACCCTATATACACATATTATATATAAATATCTACATGTATTTTGCACCGTAACTGTACACCTAAGCTTGTAGTGCGCCCAAAGAGCATAGTGGCCACCCTCTAAACAGCTAGACAAATCGTGCAGACGATGTCACCTCCGTCACCCATATGGCTCCTCCCAGCATAATCCTTTTGCTGTTATTACACTAATACACACATTATATATAAGTATCTACATTTGTGATCACCATAGAGAACCACTGACCTGGTATGGTGAATGCAAACAATAACAGCTAGCCACACAGTCAGTAAACGATGCTGTCTCCCTCCATCTCTCAGCATCACTCCTCCCACAGCGCTAATTATTACAACAATCCTGCTATTATCACAACCCTGGTTATTTATATCACAGTCATGGGTCATCTGTAATATTGTCATCGGTAAATAATAACAATTATATATTTATTTTGACATTTTTCAGCGATGCTGTGGTCACAAGCTGAACAGCAATGCTGTTCGCTCATGCTGCGTGCGCCGGCCTTGGTTGCTCCAACAGTACTGTGCCTCTCACACCTGAGAATATTGCCCACGATTTTTTTTTTAAATGGTTTACAAGAGCCCTGAGGAAGCTACTGTGAACCCCGTGTAGCCGCGGGCCATTTGAATCGGGCCTGGCACCCTATGGCATATATATACACCATGTGCACCGTGGGACATGTTACTCAGGGCATATATATACGCCATGCGCAGTTTAAGGGTTAACCCCTTAACTGCGCAGCCTCCAAATATGACACCCTCCCCCTGGTGCACAGGAAATAAATTCTGCTCGCCCATGGAGCCCAGGGCCACCAGCCGGGAGCTGACCAAACCACTGCTGAAGAAACTTTAAATTCAGCCACAATGTGCGCTTAGTATAATTGCCGCCGTCCAGGACAGGATGCCTGAACTTTGGCCTGTATCGAGCTCCTTTCCCCCCTAGGTCAAACTACTGACCTTACCCAGAATACAACCCACAACAATTTTAACTCCTGGAGTATTTACTGTTAGGTGAATATAGGCAGCAGGTGAAAGGAAACGTGCTAAAGGAGTTCTTGGCGCTTCCGGGGACTGAACCTGGAGTCTTAAATTGTGAGACAACAATCTAGATTGTAGCCCCACCCCTATTCTTAGAATGTGAGTCCGGTACCGAAAATACAGTCTTAAGATTGATCTCTGTGTTGTACATGCAGGCGATTATGATACAAAAATTGGTAGGGACATTAACACAGAAGAAGACTCGCTATCACTTCTAGATGATCTAAATAGGGTTTTGAAATGGTCAATAGATTGGCAGATGAGTTTAATGCTGATAAATGTAAAGTTCTGAGGCTAGGTAATGATGATAGAGTTACAAGATACGAGCTAGATGGTGTTGAGATTGCGAAGTCGGATTGCGAAAGGGATCTGGGAGTTATGATTAGTAAGAATTTAAAACCAAAGGATCAATGCATGAATGTTCGTAATAAGGCAAATAGAACACTGGGATTTATTAATCGAAGCATTAGTAACAAGACACCTGGTGTTGTTCTTCAGCTATATCTTGCTCTGGTTAGGCCCCATTTGGATTATGCAGTTCAGTTTTGGTCGCCGTACTATAGAATGCATAGAAATTCACTTGAACGTGTCCAGCGTAGGATGACAGTTAATTCCCCAACTTAGAAATCTTTCATATGAAGAAAGATTAACAAAGCTTAAATTGCATTCACTGGAAAGGCAGAGAGTTAGGGGTGACATGATAGAGGTTTACAAGTGGATGAATAGACATAAAAAGGGGATATTAATAGGGTATTAAAAGTATCAGCACAAGAAAGAACACGAAACAATGGGTATAAATTGGATAAGTTTAGATTTAGGAAAGACTTGGTAAATACTGGTTCGGTAACAGGGTTGTTGATTTGCGGAACCAATTACCACGTAACGTAGTGGAGGTGGGGTCCCTCGATTGTTTCAAACGTGGGTTCGACATGTATTATATGAGTGGGATTGGGTGGTTATAAATAAGAGCTGCCTCGTATGGGCCAATAGGCCCTCTGCAGTTGCCTTTGTTCTTATGTTCTACATATACATACATACATACATACATACATACATACATACATACATACATACATACATACATACATACATACATACATACATACACACACACACACACACATACATACATACATACATACACACACACACACACACACACACACACACACACACACACACACACACACACACACACACACACACACACACACACACACACACACACACACACAGACAGTACATGTCACTGCCATTATTTAGTGGTGATAGTATTATAGAAATACTGAGATAAGGACTGTTCTTGAAGCCATTTTGTAGCATGCCTTTGCACCTATTCCTGTTTATTGGTGTGCTTCTTGATATATGGACACCATACAATTACTGCATATTCCAATTTTAGTCTTACAAAAGTCATGAACAATTTCTTATTTAACTTTTTTTGGGGGGGGGGGGATTACAACCCAAATCTTTCCATAAAATGAAACCCGCCATAAACATAATTAAGTTTTCCCATTATTCAGATTGTCATTATTATTTGTTGTATTTTATAATAGGCAAGATGACCAATCACCAGACGCATATTCAAGCCGAGAATATCCTCGTGGAAACAGGGAGCCAAGCTTCAGTCGTGACTCTTATTAAACAGAGATATGTTTACTATTAAAAAGGAAAATGGTGAGTACAGTCTTATAAGGCATCCTTAGTAATGGGTATCATGTCAGTTTGAAACATACAGGATATAACATATGATGTATCAGCACTATAATTATTTGATATGGAGTCCTGTGGTGGCAGGTTTTAAAACAAATTTAACCCTTCAGGCCTTAACCCTTTAACCTTCATAAGTCCTTGAGTGGTACCACAAAATTCATTAAGCACAACTATCAAAATCTTCACATGCCCTGTGAAAGGCAATAATTAATATCTAATTGTAATTTATAATTGCAGTTGCAAATAATACTTTGCAATAAAACAAAAAATATGCATTTTATATATTGCAAGAAGAGTGAAATGTTAATTTATTTAAATTCATAATGTGCATGTGTTGGAACCATATATTGTACATCAGAATGTACATTTTTATATTCATATTACTATCTCTATGTCTATACTATGACTATGTCTCTATTCCCATCTTCAGTGAGAAATATTTCAGCACCCAAGGTATAACCCACTTAATGTGTTGCCCATACACATTACTGCTGTTTACCCACCATGAGATGTGAAGCTCAGATTGCACAGGACCTGGGTTACTTGGTACCCACATGAACAAAGATTGTGCATAAACTAAGTTATCATGTATCAAAAGTCGACAACTGTGTGTGTGATTCAGATTCACCGATTCATTTAATAGAATAGCAAACTGCCTTTTAGTGTTGAGTGCTGATCACTGAATCAAAGATGCAAAGAGTGATATAATTTAGTTGAGGTCCTGGAATGTGACCTATATTATCTATTTCTAACTTACTATTTCTTAAAAAGATTTCTCAGATTGGCTCAAGGTACTCAACACATACCAACACAACAAAGAATTGCTGAAGTTGGTAGGGGTCTCATTGAGTTAGGAACGGGTTGCATTTGTGAAGGGTGAGATGTTTAAGACTGCGATACACGAGAATTTTTGTAAATGAAAATATAAAATCAAATTAATGTTTTTTTTTTTATCAAGTATGGTTTGTTGTTTTCTCTTGACATTTTTTTCTTACTAGATTTGTTTGAATATTGACCATTATTGAGCTCATAATGGTGACCGAGAGTAAGTATGCAACGTGAGGTGTTTTCGGGGCTTAGCGTCCCTGCAGGCCGGTTGCTGGACTGGTTGACTAGGCTGTTGGATGCGGTTGCTCGCAACCTGACGTATGAGTCACAGTCTGGTTGATCAGGAATCCTTTGGAGGTGTTTGTCAAGTTCTCTCTTAAACACCGAGAGGGGTTGGCCACTTATGCCTCTTATGTTTAGTAGAAGCGTGTAGAACAGTCTCGGGCCTCTGATGTCGATAGTTCTTTCTCAGTGTACCTATTGCACCTCTGCTCTTTAACGGGGCTATTCTGCACATCCTGTCATGCCTTCTGGTCTCATGTGGTGTTATTACTGTGTGCAGGTTTGGGACCAGACCCTCTACTATTTTCCCATGTGTAAATTATTATGTACTGTATCTCCTGCCTGCGCTCAAGAGAATACAGATTTAGGCATTTCAGTTGGTCCTAATAGTTGAGATATTTTACTGAGTGGATTCTAGCAGTAAAGGATCTCTGCATTCTCTCCAGATCAGCAATTTCTTCAGCTTGGAAAGGGGCTGTCATTGTGCAGCAGTATTCCACTTTAGAGAGCACTAGTGTCTTGAAGAGTATCAACATTGGTATAGCATCTCTAGTTTGAAAAGTTCCTGTTATCCAACCTGTCATTTTTCTTGCAATTGTGACTGCTACTTTGTGTTCTTTAAAGGTAAGTAAGGTCTTCCGACATTAGTACACCCAAATCCTTTACATTGCTTTTTCGTTCTGTTTTATGATTTGACTGCATTTTGAATGTGGTTTCTGCTTTTATATTTTCGTTTTTTCCGTAGTGCAAGAGCTGGGACTTATCTTCATTAAATACCATATTATTTTCTGTAGCCCATTGAAAGACCTGATTTACATCTAATTGGAGGTTTGCTGTACTTTCTGTTGTCTACTCTCATAAAAATCCTAGTGTCGTCTACAAAGGATGATACAGCGCTATAGATTGTGTCCTTGTCTATATCCGATATGAGGATGAGAAAAAGTACTGGAGAAATTACAGTACCCTGGGGGACTGAGCTCTTCACGGTTGATAGTCTGGATTTTATTTTGTTGACTATTACACATTGGGTTCTATTAGTCAGGAAATTGTAGATACATTTGCCTATTTTCCCGGTAATTCCTTTTGAACGCATTTTGTGTGCAATAACACCATAGTCACATTTGTCGAAGGCTTTTGCGAAATCTGTGTAAATTACATTAGCGTTTTTTTGTCTTCCATGGCATCTAATGCCATGTCATAGTGGTCCACTAACTGTGACAGGCAAGAGCGTCCTGTTCTGAAACCATGTTGTCCGGGGTTATGGAGATACTGTGATTCCATATGTTTTATGAGCTTAGCGCACACTCAAAGATTTTTATGATGTGTGATGTTAGTGCTATCGGTCTGTAATTTTTTGCCTCTGCCTCATTTCCTCCTTTATGGAGTGGTGCTATCTCTGCTGTTTTTAGTATATCAGGGCTAACTCTAGTATCTAGGTTTTGTCTCCAAAGAATGTGAAAGGCCTGCGATAGTGGTTTTTTACAGTTCTTGATGAATATAGAGTTCCAGGAATCAGAGCCTGGTGCAGAGTGCATAGGCATATTGTCTATGGCTTCTTCAAAATCCAGTGGGGGTTAGGGTGACATCTGATATATGATTTGAAGTTTATATCATATCCATGAAAAATTAATTTGGATTATTAATCTTCAGTGTGCTTAGTGGCTTGCTGAAAACAGAGTTGTACTGATTTCTCAGTATTTCGCTCATTTCTTTGCTGTCATCAATGAACGTTCCATCTCCCTTTCGCAGAGGCTCGATACTAGATGTAGTTTTTTTATCTTGATTTTGCATAGAAGAAAAATATTTTGGATTTCTCTCTCTCACTGATGGCCTTTTGCTCTTTTTGCCTCTCCTGGGTTTTGTATGATTCTTGTTGCTTTAGTTCAATCGTTTCTATTTCTCTACCTAACCTTCACCGTTCTTGAGATAGGGTGTGACTCTCAAGTTGTTCCACGATTCGTTTTCTTTGCCTATAGAGGGAACGACGTTCCCGTTCCAGTCTGCGTCTCTTCCTCTTTTTTTTTTCTTAGGGATATGCAGTTTGAGCATATTTTTAGCACTACTGAGCTTATTTTTTTCAAGCACTGGTTCAGGTTTATATTTTCTAGCTAGCCTATGTACCAATTTTGAAAGCCAGTGGACTTGGTTGCTCTGGGCTGGAAGCTTTGTGACCAGTGCTCACCAAGATGGCCAGGGATGGTGGGGTCCGTCCTTCTGGCGGGCTCACAGCACAGTGTGGGAGTTCACAGCTGTGTGGATATTGCTCAGGAGGATTCGGGTCGCTCACGGGTCGACGATCCGGCTCCATTCAGACTTCTCCCCGGTGGTTCATTGCCTGTCCCGCGTGAGTTCGATGCGGTCCTTGGCTCCTTGGGGCTGGTCACTTCAGGTGACTCGTCTGCTGAGCTCTCGGGGTTGGCTTTCCTGGCTGTTTATGGTGTTAGGGAGGGCGTCCAATATCTTGGTCCGTTCCCTTTCCAAGGAATGGATGGTTGACGCCGACTCGTTTAATTGGCTCTGCCGGATGTTTGGGTCTCCACACGTGGTTCTCTTCATGTTGGCATGGTGGAAGTGTCTCCCGGTATACGTGGCGTCCTTCCCCGATTGCGAGGTCGTCAGGGTCGACACCTTCAGGCAGGACTGGGCGAGGTGGGGTTATCTGTACCTCTTTCCCTCGGTTCAGCTGTTGCTCCAGACTTACCAGCTTGGCTTGGCTTGGCTTGCTTGGAGACTTACCAGGGGAGAGTTGTCCATTTGGTTACTTGGCGGCTGGCCCAGTTGGTTTCAGGCGCTGCTTCCTCAATGCTTGAACCCAGGGGTCTTCCTGCGGTTCCGCCTCTTTCAGAAAATCGGTCCAACCTGGTACGAGGCTGGTTTGGTCTTCTCCTCAAGTCTTCGAGGAGAAGACTGTTCGAGAAGATTTTACAATGCTTGTGTCCTGGTTTCTCTTTCTCTGTCTACTGCAAACTCATGCATAGTGGTATGTACTTTCACTTCTTTTCCTACCATCCTCCCTCTGTTAAGAAAATTTTTCTCATCTCTTTCTTCATCGGCATTCTATGTATCGGTAACCTTCAGTTTCTTGATTCTGAAATTACCTTTATTTACAAATCCTTCTCTCGCCTTGGTTACCCTGTACATTTTATCAACTGTGCCTATTCTCAAGCTAAAAAAAATTCCTTTCATCCCAAACCTGTTTCCAACACAATTACCACTGTGTTATGCCCTTCATATCTGAACTCAAAAATCTCGCCAAACCCCTTCGTCCTCTTGACATAAAACTTGCCTTTCAACAAAATAACACTTTCTAGTATTCAGGCGATGAGTCACAATAACATGGCTGAAGTATGTTGACCAGACCACACACTAGAAAGTCAAGGGACAACGACATTTCGGTCCGTCCTATACCATTCTCAAGTCAAGTCGACTTCCTTGTAATCTGATTCTTCTAATGCTGCTGGTGTCTACTCTATTTCTCAAGAGTAGACACCAGCAGCATCTTTCTCATGTATATTTCATGATTCATATTTATCAGCATATTTCTCATCTGGTCCAAGTTTCAGCATCGTACGATGCCGAGACTTGGACCAGATGAAACCCTTTTCATATACAACTCGTCAAAAAAGTTTGATAGAAATCGAACCTGTTTTCATTTTTGGCATATTTGACTCTCTTGGCCCCTTAAGTCTGTCATTTAGTGTATGCCCAGTTTCCCCAAAATATTGGAGAGGACAAGATGAACAGGAAATTATGTTAATCATGTTAAACCTTAAGAAAGGGTTTAACAATTTCCAGCTTTCTGGGGATTTTTACGTGAATTCAAAATGCTAAATGACTGGGCACACATGCCCTAACACCCCTTTCCACTTTTGTTTTCTCCTTCCAATTTTTTCTCTTCATCCTCTGCTGATTACAGCCACCTACACTTCTTACACCCTCTTTAATTATTAACCCTTAACATGCTCGGGGTCTAATATCCTGCTATCCACACAGGCGCATGTCATTTTGAAAAAAAAAAAAATTTTTTTTTTTTGCTAATCTGTTAAGTTCTGTTCACTGATCACGGGAAAAATAAAAAAAAAATTCTATTGTACTTACTTTTGTTGCAATAGAGCCGAGAAGCTCTGCGATGACGTCACAATCTGCATGGTCGCTCATGCAGTACACGCCCGGGAGATGTTGCGCGCGGTCCTCAAACAGCCAGAGTTGCCACAAATATATTTTCGCGCTATTTATTTACAATGTCTAAGCGCATTTTATCTAATTTTTTTTCACTAATTGTGTTTCAAATACTGTTTGAACATATTTTGTATCAATAATTGTTGCATATTTGAGTATACACAGGCGCACACAAATGTTTTCAATTACGGCAATATAATATGTCATTACAGTCTATTATATTATATGTTCTGCTTATATGTTTACATATTTACACACTCGCACACGCTATACACACTTTGAAGCACACTTAGAAGATTTCTAGACTGTGGTAGTCATTGAAGCAGTCGACAGCACATAATGGGATACCACACGTTTCACACCATGTTTGCACAAGCTTCCGTTTCTTGTCTCTACGTGTCGTTGTTTTACACACCAAGCAATCACGTTGGGCTATTGCACGCTTCACACCAGGTGGCAAATACTTAAGTTTGTGTGCTAGGAAGCCTTCAGTGTGAGCGAGGCGTGGAGTACCAGCATGCTGCAACAGTGGGTTTATGATGGGCCGCTGAATACCTGGGACATCTTTTGCAAACTTTCCTAATAACTGTATTGCAGCATCAAATACAAAGTCACGGAAAGTGGGCTTACGTCCAGTTCTCACAAGGTACATGTTGAAACAGTTCAGCATGCTCATGTCCACAAGATGGAAGAACACTTTTTTCGTCCACCTACATGTCTTCCGCACACACTCTGCAGTGCCAATCATCATGTCTGATTTATCAATCAACCGCATGTTGATATTATAGTCTAAAACACAGTCTGGCTTATATAGTGGTGCGTTTGTTTTAAGGCTCACTTTCCCACTGTTCACCATTGTTCCATCATGAATTGTTGTCAACAAGTTCACCTCTCTTTTGTCTTTCCACCGAACTGACAGAATGTTATCACTTTTCCTTCTCTGACACTCACCAACTGCAATGTCGTTGTCAAACACAGGCATTTCCCTTCGTTGTGGCTTTACTGTACCAACCAATCCGGTTCTATTTTCTAGCAAGAACCGAGCTAGCAAGGGACTTGTATAGTAATTATCTGTGTATAAAATGTGTCCCTTGTTCATCCACGGAGCCATGATGGTCTTCACTACACTCCCCGAGAATCCATGTTCGTCGTTACCGGGAATGTCTACATCACTAGCCGAGTACAGAATCATGTGTAACACGTATCCTGTCTCACAATCACAAAGAACAAAAAATTTCAGGCCAAATCGGTTTCGTTTTGAGGGAATGTACTGTTTGAATGGAACACGTCCCTTGAAAAGTATGAGAGATTCATCAACCACCAGCTTCTGTGCTGGTACGTAAAAATCTCTGAATTTTCCAATAACATCGTTCATGTAGTGCCTCACTCGCCACAGTCTATCATCAGGTGTTCGGTCCTGAACACTTCCAAAATGTAGACACCTGAGGAGTATCTGAAACCTGTCTCGTGACATATATTTCCCGAATAAAGGTGTTGGTATTGTCTTGTCCTTGCTCCAATAGTCATTTATTGCATGTTTGTGACAGTGCTTCATCAACAGAGTGCCAAAAACACATACATTTTCGCCACTGTGGTATTTTTCCAACGCTGCAGTCGTGAAAATTCTGTGATTTCCCTCTCAATCAGGTAAGCAGCATGCAGGTTCGTTTGGTGTACAATGTATTCCATGAGTGGTTCATCATAGAATGCTGTAAAATATTCCATCTCAGCCATGTCCTCACCTTGATTAGGGAAAAGGTTTGTAATCCCTACATCTTTATCGTCAAAGTGAGGAATATTAGGAATAAAATCGTCACCATCACTCCACTCAAGTACACCAGGCGTCCTGCGAGATGCAGAGGAAAGACGGCGAGGAAGCGATGCATACCGGCGACCAGGAGCTGAATACCGTCTGCGAGAAGCACGGCGGCTACGTGCACGTGAACACGAGGGTCTTGGTCCCTCATTTGGTGCTATGCGGTGGCGCTTGGCTGGGCGAGATGCTGCTGACGCGACAATTTCTCGCCCAGTTACACCACTGGTACCAGCCACAGGCTCAATAAAACTTTGATCTGAGTCACTAAACCCAGAAAAGGAGTCACCTCCCTCTGACTCGTCACCCTCAAACAGAAAATATCCACAGGAACTGTGAGGTCGTGGTAGAATTGGGGTAGAAAATGGGCGAGGAGGCATGGGAGAGCGTATAGGCCTCGCCATGGCATGGCGGTCATTCTCACTTTCACTGCTGCTGCTACTATCTCCCGACAACTGTGTATAATCCTCATTGTTGTCTGAATCGTCAAACACACTTTCTTCACCTTCAGAGAATAATTCGTGGGCTATTTGCTCTGGGGTGAGGGACTGAGTGATGCGTGCTCGTGAGGCGTTTGACCGTGCACTCGCCATGGTGACTCTCGCTAAACTGAGGCCTCCCATGCCATCGGAGCGTGAGCTGGATTTTTTTTCAAAATGGCCGCTGTTTACTAGAGCCCCTGGGCAGCGTATGGGACCCCCAGCTACACCGCGGGCCATTCAAATCGTGCGCGGTACCCATACACTTCATATGAAGTGAAGCGCAGTTGACTGGTAAAACGATTTACACTTCATATGAAGTGATGCGCACTTTAAGGGTTAAACCACTTTCTACTGGTACTGTATTGTGAAATATGCCAGATTGGGGGATACATTTTGATATTGACCTTTAATGGTTGTCTTTGATGAGCAAATCATGTCTTGTTCTGGCAAAAATCTGTAGAAACCTGGTTGTTACTTTACATGTAGAATATTTTCAAGTCAATAATATAATTATTTCTTGTAATATTTACAGATTTGTCAACTATGAAGGTTATGAATGAACAGAAAACTTCAAGATTCTGCAAGATAACTGCTCTCCTTAGAGGGTAATTGCATATTTAACACCTACTACTAATTGTATACTTATATTCATGGGTGTAGTTTATAGAAAAGGATTGTTTTATTAGATAATTACTGTATCGAAAGAGTACAAAATAGATATTGTACTATTTACCAGTTGAGATTTTGATATAATTGTAAATAAACCAGTTAATGTAATTAAATCAGTCAAATTAAGGTTTAGGATGCCAATAAGGGGTGCAATAGTAGGTGCATAATGCTTGGCATTTGCAGTCCACGAGGTGTGGGCTCAGTCTTGTGGTCAAGAGAAGGTTGATACATCACTATCATCTGTGATGTTTGTAGAGACTGTAACTTTGTTGAACTGGGCTAGGCAGTCTTTGTCTCAAGGATATCTTTAAGAGTATGTGGGATGTCCTTTTATTTTTTCTCTCATGAGTATAGTACATTAAATGTCAATGCTGATCTTGAAATATTTAGATTTATGATGTACAGGTACTATATCAAATTCTGTATTGGTCTATTTTTGTCTTGCACTTGTCTTCAAGTAGGGGAAGACAATTTACATTCTAAAATAAACAGTGAACAGTATTTCATTATTTTCTTTGAGTTCTGGAGTAAAAATTATTGTAATGTGTACTGAAGTTCTTTGGCAATATTATGCAGTTCCTCCATATTGCTTAATTATAATCATCACTTGGCACACAATTTGTCTATTGGTGAAGTGATGCATTTACAATTTAAGTTGCATATTAAGCCATTATTTTAATACTAATTTGGTGTAATGGTGTAGCTCATCATAAGGGTTATCGCAATATCAAGCAAGGTACAAAGTAATCTCCGGGCTGATGGACACGAAGCTTATAAGACTCAAGTTGCAAATTCCTTATTTAAAGATCAGTAGTTATTTGAACTGAGAAGTGATTATGATTATGCTTTGTCAGTTTTAGCATTCCCCTACAAAGATAGTTATTTGAATAACAATCTGGCTACTTCATTATTAGTACTCAAGCTAACTCTTAAATGTTAATTTTATGTTTGCATTCTCTTTGTATTTGGCACTTTGGCCACAAGTTTGTTTACTTGGAATGTAAAAAAATATTACAATAAATAGAAATAGTATTTTCTAGTTTTATCAAATTAATCCTAAGGTTTTATTATTTTGGGTAATTATTTTTGTACCTACATATTAAAATATTATTAATGTTTTAGAGAGTTTTTGTTAGTAGAGCATGTGTTCGAAATAATATAACGGGTGATTGGTTTTACAATGTACAAATATACGGATTGGATAATGAGGGGAAACAGAATTATGAGTGAATTTTGTATGTTGTTTGTATGTTGGTACTAAATAGGATACTGTATATTAAACTTGGTGGACTAATGCAATTTTTATAGCAGAATATATATATATATAATATACAGTGGGGCCTCGATTTACGACGGTAATCCATTCCCAGAGACATATCGAAGTGATTTTTTCCATCTATATAAATATGGAAATGTTTGTTCAAAATCGCTACTCTCCGAAAGTAAGTAATTATCAAAAGAAGGCACCAAACCGGGAAGGCTATGTAGCACCATCAAAAGTGCGGGATAATTAGAGGGCGCTAAATATCACCAAGGATGCCAATATGAGAACAGAAACGCATAAGGCGAACGATATCAAAAGTATCCGAGGCACCAAGAATGCTATCGAGGGACAAGCGACCCCGGGGGACGATCGGAAAACAAGACACACGCTCGTCCCATAAGTCAGGACATTCAACAAGGACATGGACGACTGCAAGAAGGACAATAAAGAGCAGGGTCGCGCTCCATCAAGTAACCATGAGTTAAGCAAGTATGGCCAATACGCAACATCGCCAGAGCTATTTCCCATCGCTGGTTACGGTGGCAGGACGACGACCACGAGGACACACTACTCTTAAGAGTATGCAGTTTGTTACCAGTAACTGACAACCAACAAGCCTGCTAATGGGTAAGGATGGAGGAATGGATAACCTGGTAAAAGTCGGAATAAGGAATACCTTTACGAGAGACGGGACAAGAGCGGACAGCTTCCCTGGCGGCAGCATCCGCACGCTCATTTAAATTTAAAGAGACACCAATATGGCTGGGAACCCAACAAAACTCAACTGACTTAAATTTACTGTGAACAAGAAACAGCCATTGCTGGATCTCGACAACCACTGGATGAACCGGATCCCGAGGATCCGAGAGCCATGAGGGCACTACGAGAGGCAACAACAACTACAAAGGAAGATTGGCAACGAGAAAGCAAGAGATGAAGAGCATAGAGAATAGCATAAAGTTCCGCTGTGAAGATGCTAGTCTCCGGAGGTAAGCAACACATAAGTGTGGAGTAGCCTACACTGTCCATAGACTTAAGACCCATCGGTGAAGATGGAAACGGAGCGGGAGTGAGAAGAAAAGTGCTCAAGGAAAAGGCGTTTTAGAACCGTAGGAGGGGTAAAAGCTTTAGTGATGCTGGTTAAGGATGTACAAAACTGTGGAAGGGGGACTCGACAGGGGCAAAGAAAGAACAACACGAGTAGAAATATTAGAAATACAAACTGAAAGAGAATCCAGTAAGCGAGATAACCAGACAGAAAGAGGGAGGGGGTTTAGAGGAACAGGAACCACAAGAGGGGTAAAAGTTAAAAAAGAAAAAGTAAAAAAAGGTAGAGGGAAGCACGACAGAGGCAAGAGGAAGGATGTTGTAAGGACCGCGCAAGATAGCGAAGACAGTAGTAATCACGGCGGTCCTGGAAAGATAGGAAGCCATTGTCAACATACAAGCTGAGGACGGGAGTCGAACGAAAGGCACCAAAACTGGGCACAACCCAGTATGGTGCAAAGCATCAAGACGGCGAAGAGTAGAAGGAGAAGCAGACGAGTAAGCAGGGCAACCATATTAGAGCTTAGACAGGACGAGAGAGGAATGTAAAGCAAGTAGAGTGCTTCTATCCACTCCCCAAGAAGTATGGGACAATACCCAAAGAAGGGTAAGCATTCAACGACCAAGACAAATGAGTGTCAAAAATCAACCACAAAAGCTTAGCGGAATTCTGGTACAAAATGGGGTGACCATAAAGCGACAAAGAAGGACGAAGAATGACACGCTTCTGAGTAAAACTCATAGCACAAGTCTTTAGTGGTAGAGAACCTGAAGCCATGATCGGTGGCCCAAGACGACACGGTATCAATCACAAGTTGAAGCTGGCGTTGAAGGAGAGGCGAATCATCACCCTGACAGCAAAGGGTATGATCGTCGACATAAAGAGCGCGGAAGAGAGGAAAGAAGACCATTGAGGGCAACCAGAAAAAGAGTAGTGCTCAGAACACTACCCTGGGGCACACCTTCATATTGCTGAAAAGAGGCAGAGAGAGCGGTACCAAGCCTCACCTGAAAGGAACGACGAGAGAGGAAGCTGCGGAGAAAGCGACGGAGATGACCACAAAGGCCAAAAGAATGAAGCTGGGATAGGATATGATATCGCCAACCGGTGTCGTAAGCCTTTTCCAGGTAAAAAAGAACGGCAACAACGGTTTTCCTGCTTGCTTGATGGGGTTCTGGGAGTTATTCTACTCCCCAAGCCCGGCCCGAGGACAAGCTCGACTTGTGAGAGTTTGGTCCACCAGGCTGTTGCTTGGAGCGGCCCGCAGGGCCACATACCCACCACAGCCCAGCTGATCTGGAACTTCTCTTAGAAAGCAGTCCAGTTTTCTCTTGAAGATGTCCACGGTTGTTCCGGTAATATTTGTTACAATATATGTTTTCCGGCAATAAACATCACTGGTGCACGAACTGAACCCTGTGGTACTCCACTTGTGACATTTCTCCAGTCCGATACATTGCCTCTGATTACTGCCCTCATTTTTCTATCAGTCAGAAAATTTTTCATCCATGTTAGAAGCTTACCTGTCACCCCTCCAATATTTTCCAGAACAACCTCTTATGTGGAACTCTGTCAAAAGCCTTTTTTAGGTCCAGATAGATGCAGTCAACCTAACCATCTCTTTCCTGTAATATCTCTGTGGCTCGATCATAGAAACTGAGTAAATTCGATACACAGGATCTTCCAGATCGAAAACCATACTGTCTATCTGATATTATATCATTTTTCTCCAGGTGTTCTACCCATTTAGTTTTGATTAGTTTTTCCAATACTTTCACTATTACACTTGTCAATGATACAGGTCTATAATTGAGGGGGTCTTCCCTGCTGTCACTTTTGTAGATTGGAACTATGTTAGCCTGTTTCCACACATCTGCTACGATTCCTGTACACAGGGATGCCTGAAAGATCAGGTGAAGTGAAATGCTGAGCTCAGATGCACATTCTCTCAGGACCCATGGTGGAACTCCATCTGGGCCAGCTGCTTTGTTCTTACTGAGTTCCTTTAGCATATTTTCCACTTCATCTCTAGACACCTCTACTCGCACTATGTTGTTCTCTGGAATTCTTATTGTGTCTGATTCTCTGAAGATTTCATTTTGTACAAACACACCTTGGAACATTTCATTTAATGTTTCACACATCCTTTTCATTTTCCGTGAATCTCTTTCCCATTTTCAACCTCTGGATATTATCCTTTACCTGCAACTCCAGGTTTATGAATTTGTAGAACAGGCCTGGTTCTGTTTTACATTTATCTGCTATCCCTTTTTCAAAATTTCTTTCTGCCTCTCTACTTACTGTCGTATAGTTGTTTCTCGCATCTTTGTATCGCTGGTATGTTTGGGGGTTTGGCCTCTTCCTATACTGATTCCATTTTTGTCTCTTTTGGTCTCTGGCCCTCTCACAATTTCTGTTGAACCAATCCTGTTTTCTGGCCCTGCATCTCATGTTTTGGTATGAGTGTTTGTGTGCCTTCCTCATATATTTTTAAAAATTTGGCATACATTTCATTTACTTCCCTGCCTAGCAACAAGTCTGTCTAATTACACTCATTAAAAAAATTCGAAGTTCCCCATAGTGACCTCTCCTTAAATTGAGTTTATCAACTGTTTCAATGTTCCCATTTTCTTCTAGATGATATCTTAAAGCATAATCAATGTCTAACAGGAGGTGATCACTCTTTCCCAAGGGAGGAAGGTACTGGATGTCAAATATCTCCTCTTCTTTCCTGGTGAATACTAGATCCAGTACTGACGGTACATCTCCTTCCCTCATTCTTGTGGCCTGCTTTATGTGTTGATACAAGAATGTCTCCAGAATGAGGTTCACAAATCTGCATGTCCAAAAGTCCTCCGTTCTTGCTTCATAGGCCTCCCAGTCTATTGCTTTAAAGTTGAAGTTTCCCAGTATCAACAGTCATGATTTATCGTTATCTGGCTTGTACAATAATCTCTCTCATTACCATTATGAGGCCCTCTCGTTTGTCATCCAGTTCTTCCTTTGTCCATGTGTTGCTTGCTGGTGGGTTGTAGGCATTTAATATTATCAGCTTATCATCCTGATTCCAGATCTGCAATGCCATTATGTCAATATCTCAGGGTTTTCAAATATTAACTCTCTTACCTTCAGGTGTGTTTTCACCAGCACAGCCACTCCTCCTCCCTTCCTAGTTTTCCTGTCACGTCTCCAAACTGAATAGCCTCTTGGGAATATGACTTCATTTATTATATTTTCTTCAAGTTTCATCTCTGATAATGCAACAATATCTGGGACCCTAAGCTGGATTATATCTTGCAACTCCAAAGTTTTTGACCTCACCCCATCATGTTGGTATATACAATTTTCAGGAACATGTTCCCTTTTCCTTTGCTCTTTACTCCCCCTTCCACTACTGATCTTGTTGTTTTGTTTTTATGTACCATTTCACAAGCTTTCCAGTCCGTCACTTTGTAGAAAAAAGAATTTCTGTCTTCTTCATTTCTATCCCCATTTAGACATTTTGCCTCAATTAGGTTCATTTTCAGCTTTTCTCTGTCTTCCTTGGAGAGGTCTTGTCTTATTGACCAAAGTTCGCCAACCTCATCACTCTGCAATTTCCTGGCATTTCTAAGCAATTCCATCATGTTTTTCACTCCATTAAACGTCACCCTTAAGGGGTGGTTCTTGTCTTTCTCATATTTTCCTATTCTTCTAAAATCTCTGACATTTTCCTTTGAG